GTGTGCAGAAAGCCTCTGAATATGGATCCTACCATCGGCCTTTTGGAATTTTGGATTTGGGTAAATCAGTTGACTACTGGAGCAAATTGTGGCAATGTTAGATTATTTTATTTTTTTCTCGGTCTCAGTGTGGGTTTTTTGGTTGTCTGTCTTTGAAAAAAAAATTCAGAGAAAAAGAATCAGGAGGAGGAGAAAACTGGATGGCAAGTCTGTGAAGGCCAACCACCACAAGCTCCTTACTTCAAAGCATAATGGCGGCATTTTTGACAGTTATCACCTGTGCCTTCCAAGGACAAGCTCATATCCTGCATGACATTTAAACAGGACTACAAAAAGCCAGGAAAGGGGGAGGCAGGACTTCGGGCAGCGCATATGACGTGTCCCACAAAGCAGCTACTCATTGTCATAGTCCAGAGGAACCACGAGTTCCTACAGGAATGCAGGAGAGGGAAAAATCCCAACTGCTGTTGTCTTAGTTTTTTCTTTGGTGTTACTCTTAACTTGTGACAGACCCTAAAAGATAAAATCTGTCAATCTGTGGTAGAGCATGTTACTGACAAAAGTATAAAAAGTGCACTGGACTGAAAATACCATATAAAAATGTGTCATGAATCTACTTCCAGGCCTTGCCAGACCGTACAGATGCCAGAGCGCTGGGAGTTGCTTCAACAGTTGCTTGTTGGCTGTGGATGCACAAGGAGGTTTATAGGCTACATCTCCAGTAACAGTAATCTTCTGGAGTGATATATTGGATGAGGACAGTTGGAGCCAAATGAGTGCTGTAAACAGTGACATGTAACACTGGGCTTATGTCAGGGTGGAGCCATTTGCCGTGTAGTCTGATCCAGATTTTTGGTAAGGAGTAGGAAGAAAGGCCATTAGCAAGGTAGTAATTCAGATGTTGATGCGTATGTGAGGCGATCTGTTGACAGAAACTGGCAGATGTAGCTGAAATTCTGTAGTTGGGTTGGTATGGCAGCATCACAGTCATATCTTTGTCCCAGTTCCCTACAGCATGTTTCTGAGCAGCCAGTGCTTTTTGTGATGGAGAATCAGTTAGCTGGGGTGCCTGTGTATGTGGGGTAAGTCTTGAGTTGGATGGGGAGAGTCAAGCTCTGATGTTTCCATCGCAGCAAAGTTAAATTGTGAAACCTGCCAGTCACTTGCACTTGGAATTGCATGTGGTGAGATATATGGGAAACCAGCCCGTTTGAAAGCATCTACCATCCTGCAGTGGAACTGTCTGTCTGCTAATGCCATGCAAAGTGCTGTAAACCATGGCAGCAACTTGGCATGAACTTGTTTTTTATTACACTTGAAGTGTTTTTTATTACACTGAAAAGTATTTCAACTTTGAATAGCTTTTAAGGCAAAGGCCTGTTATGATCAGCTATATTTGGGCTCTAGTAGGACAAGCCAAAGAAATATACTCAATGTTATTTTGGTACTGAAGCATATAATCAGCATATTCTTCTGTGCCATATGTTTTTTGTTCAGTTCATCATGATTTTGATGTTACGCCATCTTCAGAATGGTTGATCTTTGGTTATTTCTTCTTGATTTGCCTCCTCCTACAGGAATCACAGCACACTTGAGATGAAACTAGCACTCTGTGTGTGTCTAAGCACGTTTAAAATGTCTAAATTTAGATAAAGACTTGGATTTGCATACTGTTTGGAGTAAATTTGGACCTGGCAATTGCAAGTTACCAAAGTATTAGGGAACACCGTCTTACAGAAATAAAATAAAATTGTTCTATAGCAGCAATTAAATGTGATTTTTATGATACATCCTTTAATTATGTCATTGCTTTCTTTGATGGGGGGGAAAAAAAAAAAAAACCACCAGAAAGATGCAGAATACATTCAGTTGAATGAAGGAGAGGAAAGAGACGTAATTTGAAAACAGACGTTGTTCAAACATGGATAAAAATCACTTTTGCAAGATATTTATTTGATTTGGTGGCTCACATGGCTTAAGTGGTTGAAAAATTGTCCAAAATCAATTATGCCGATTACATAAGAATACCACACCCAGTATAACCAGTTTTAATGAACAAAGAGTGACTCACAAATCATAGACTTTGTTTGAAGATGTAATATCTCAGGGTGGGATTCACAGTCTTTCTCAGGTTCTTAAGAGTCAAGAAGCTGTGAGCCAGTCTGTGGCTTGCCTTTTTTTTTTTTTTTTTTTTTTTTTTTTTTTTAAATAATACTGAGTTCTTATGTAGGCTGGAATAGTTACAGTTGAGCCATGCAGTGGATATAAGCTGGATGAAAGTCCATGCTGAGAGAAATCATCCATCTCTGTATAAAAGCAGGGTTTAAAATGGGAGTGCTTATTTCTGTGACATCAACAAATTCAAGGTGTTGTGCAACCTGGAAAACGTTTCGGTTTCAAGCCACCAGTGTTAAATTGTTCCTTGAGAATACCTCTTAATTGCTTAATTATTAGTTATCCTTTAAAAGTCAATATTAATGAAATCTAAGTTGGCAGTACCAACGCTTTTATTTTCATGTCAACAAATGATGTAGTCATGAAAACCTGTGGGTCACAAGATTGGTCTGACAGCTCCACGCTGTATATCAAATAATTGTCGATTGCCGCAGTGGCTGCACAAATAACTTAGTTAAAATGCTTCCAGTGTAATGTCCTATAATGTAATTTTAAGAGGTCTGCAAGACTAATTGTGGCGTTTACAACCTTGTACTCAGGTTGGACTCTTTTGTTGAAGGATAGCTTCTCGTTACCTGAGGTCATGTGCCTAAAGACCTTGTGGCAGTAAAAATGTCCCACGCACCATTTTGGAGACTGAGGTGTCAGGGGTGTCTTGTGGAATGGATCGCAAGATGTGCTGTGAAAACATGGTTGTGCTCTGCAGTGTGGCACTCTTCTGTTCTGGAGGGCCTACACTGAGGTTTAATGTGTCTGAAATGGCATGTGCTCCTTCACTGCCTTAGCCACATGCTGCAGTTCTAGGATTTTTATTTTATATTTTTAAAGGAATTTCAGTGTGAAGGTTCATGGATATATAAGTTGGGATGGGCCCAACTCTAGGTGAAGGAAGCATCTCACCATCTATTGCACGCATGCCATACCAGGAGACCGGTTATATAAACCTGAACATTTGGACTGTGTACTCCTAGAGATGTCCGCAACAACTCCAGAATGAGAGTCAACTTTTGGACTCTAAGAATTGATTTGCGTTTGAAATATAACCCAACAGCTAGACTCCCTCCTGCAGCCCCTGCTAGAGTATACCTCTGCTGAATGACCTGCAAACGTCAAGTTTCTAGCTTGTAGAATGAAGGACTTAATTTGTAACCCATATTCCCTATATACCTAGGAAAGGCAGATATTTATATTTAAACTTTCAGGGCTGTTATGTTACATTGGCCAGTTTCCACAAAATTATTTTCACTGAATACAGATATTTGGAAGCAAAATATTTGGCCATATTTCATTGGAGATAAAGGTAGTTGTTAGCTGCTCTGTTTTTAAGCGATTCTTGTTGCATCTTAGTAATGTAATTTTCATCTACTCTTCTGTAAGAACAGAGTTACAGAAATATTGAATGTATAAAATGCAGTTCTCTCAGGGGAATCACTATCATCCTTTTGTTGTTAAAAGGTATAGGTTTTTTCTTCTTTCCTTGAATTCTGAAATTTTCTTACCTTGAGTTGGTATACCATCATTCTTTCTCTCTTGTTATTTGTTAAATCATAGGAAAAAATAATTAAACTCAAAAGATTTTTTTTCTTAAGATCTAATTTTGCTCTCAGTAGCTATATTGAATCCACAGCTTTTGAATTAAAAGATAACCTCTGTTAAAACTAAATACTTAGGTTGTAAGATTTTTGGTGTTGGTATATGTTCATTTTGCAATTTAGGGGGAAAAAAAAGTGATAATGTTAGCAGATCCTTAAAGAGCTGCATCTTTGCCTTTGCTCTTTTACCAAGCATGGCTAATTTGTTTCATTGCTAATTTCCTTAATTGTGGTAACCAATACCTTTGGTCTAGATGCACACAAATTCCACAGCGTGTTTAATTGTGTGCCTGAAGTCCTATGCAATATTTGGGACAGTCAGGATCCCCAAAGGGAGGTTCATAATTAGGTGGTGACTGAACCTGGTGACCTCTAAGCTCAAATACTCTTCCTAATGTTTGTTTTCTATACCTAACTAGAATGAAACCATCTCTTGGACTGTTTTGGCAATATTGGCTGCTTTTCTAATTTCTGTGGGGATCACTAATCTAGGTGTTTACAAGAAACATGGCAAATTTGGTCCCTTCAAGGCAGACAGGCAAAGGAGGGCTCTAGTAGGCAGAATCCAAATGAGTTTAGATGAGCAGGTGCTGCTTTGGTCTCGTTTGGGATGGAGGGAGTTGATTCCAGAAGTAATTAATTATTTTTTTTGTGTGTGTGGACAGCAACTTTGTTTCAAACCTGTAGGCGATACTTTTGGCATCAGGTATCTTAAGCCCTTTATAAGAGATTGTTCCTGTTCAATGCTTTTCACTGTGAATATAAAAAGCAGTCCCATTAGCATAGTCCTGCTACTTGCTAAGTAAAAGGAATTGATGTTCATGTGGTAATACAGGCTTGCTGGAGTGTTTTTTTTAGTCACACTGCCTTAGGTGCAAGCAGCAGGAAAAGAAAAGCATATTAAAGTACTTTGTGCCAGATATCATGAGTATACATGCTGTAATATGAAGTAGGAGATAAAAGACTTTCTCTTTTTTGTTTTTCATTGTGGCTTGTATTGCTTTACAAAGTAAGAAGTATTCCCACAGAATTTAGCTGAAGATTAATTTACACTAGAGGAAACTACTTGGAAAATAGTGGATAGAAATATATAGACTACATGTTTCAAATAGAAAAGTTTTTGTTGATTTGTTCTGTTGGGGCTTTTTAGGACTGCTTAATAATACAAGTACTATTTTTGCTACTCCTGATTATGTGTGCGTGTTCAGTTAACTCAAGTCTTATTTTTGCAGACAGTTACTGGGAAAAGCTTTGGAACCAAAGACTTTCGAGCAGCTCTAGAAAACGGCGTCCTGTTGTGCGAGTGAGTATTGACTTTCATTGCCCATATGAAAACCCTTCAGGGCAACATCAGTTGGCCTCTTTCCTTGCTGATCTCTGTATTTCTTTAAGCACCAATACTATTTTCTGATAGGTAATTTATTTTTTTAATACCTGGTGTTTGCCATGTGAAAGAAGAATAGCTTTCAGACATCCTCTTCCTAGATCTACGCATTCTATGTGTTGTCCCACACAATTCCTCATGTGTTACCAAGAGGATTGTGGCTGATCCTGTGACCACCTGATTGGTTTTATTTGTTATAATTCTTATGGTTTCAACAGGTTTTATTTTCAGCATGTGCCAAGTGGTGTGGCTATGGCTGTGATTAAAGCATTCAGTTACACCTGTATACCCAGTCGTGTGTTTTGGTTTTTTTTGTTCTCCATCCTCACCCTTTCATCAGAAATTATTGTAAACTCTGTGTGCTGGTTGTTCTTTAAATCCTGGAAGCTACCTGTTCCTACCAGAGAACTTCACACTGAGAGATGTTTCCTTTTAAGAAGTACTTCCTTTCAGAATTGGATTTTATAACATTCTAGGTTGAAGATAACAGGCAGGGATTTGGTTGCATGTATCTGTTACTTATGAATACTGCTCCTATGGTCACATACAGTATGCCAACAATGTAGCTTCTATTGGATGTCATTTGAGATACTTTATAAAAACCATACTGTTTTAAAAAAAAAAACACAACACTTCAGGATGATAAAAGTAAATAGAATGGGTCTCAACCTAATGTAGAAACGACTTGTCGTGTATGTGCGCATGCAGTCCAAGTTTCAGTATTTTCTGGACAGACTTAGTTATTGCTCTCAGCAACAAACTCTGACATCAACTTGTTTTGGAGTGCTTTCTTTAAAAAGCTTCCTTGTGCTTACATATTACAGGCTTGGCAATAATGGGACTTGTCTGGTTTCGTTCGTAGGCTGAGTCAGAGTTGTAAAATGTCCACTTGTCAGGGCTCTTCCACATATCTCTACTTGGTTTTATAGTTACTGGAACAGGTTTCCAGGACTGGAAGTGGTGCTTATCCCTCAGTATTTTAAGGAAGGTTGGGTGTAAATGTCATTACAATGCCAGTGCAAGAGAAATCTCATCGGAGAACTTCTGGCACACTTAAAAAAAAAAAAAGATAAAATCTCAAACTGCAGAGCCACTCTGAGCTTAGATGAACTGATGTAACTTTCAGAAAATATTTATAACGGTTCAGTTCTTTGAATTTTTATTTACTATGTGTTCAGTATAACCAAACCAAATATAAAAAGGCAATGTTCCTGCCTTTTCCCTTCTGTGAAAATTACTGTGTTTTCTGTCCTTGCCTTTATTTTTCTGTTGGGGCCCTTTGCCCATCACCCATCTTGCTAGTCACTTCTGAAGTTATCTTTGTGACATGGAGGAGTTGATTCATTTGGAATGATGTTGTAGAGATGGGCACTGTGTTTTCATTACTTAAGTAATCAAATGTTAACTGGAGTGAATGTGATAATAAAAATAGTTTTAATAAGAAGGTATTTCTTCAGGTATTTATTTAGTGGAATGTGTGTATTGTATTCAACTGTAACTTTTAAAGAGTGTCTTTTAAGAATTGGTATTGAACTGATCTATTCTAATCCTCTGATGCTTTTCTTGATGCTTATTTGGCAAAAGAATATGAGCCTCCATCTGCCAAATGCGAATCAGTTCAATTTATCTGTAATTAATACCCATATACAAGAAAAACATCCTGTAATTTCTTCAGCTGAGCAGCTTGCCTTAGGAGGCATGCAATTTTAAAACAAAAGATGCCTCATTATGTTGCACTAAATCATATAGCTCTTCTCTTGTGTCATAACTTTTAATTTTGACACATTTGAAATACAAGGAGAAGTGACTTTCAGACAACTTCTGTGGAAACAAAAAGGAGTGGGATGGGAAAGGTTTTCGGATGTCCAGTTTTCACTGAAGTCAGTGGAGTGCAAGATCTTAGAGACAGGCTAGACATGACATTGCCCGTTTCCTTGGTTCACCTGTGATGTGGCTAATTTAGCATGCACAGATCTATCGTCTCTCGAGATGGAGTGTTTGACTTGTAGCAGATGAGACCTGTACTGGCACAGGATACTCCTGTGGCAGGCCACTTGGTTCGTTTGGCATACTTGAATGGCCAAGAGCACCTGTTGATCGACTGATCAGTAAACAAAATAAAGCTGCCTGCATTTTACCAGATCTTCTGTGCATATGTTAGAGGAAGAAAGTTCAAGTTTTCCTGATCACATATTACTTCATATCCTTAAATACAATAAAGCAAATAAAAATTATGCATCTGGAAGAATTTGTAAAGAAAAGGGGGGGGAACACTCAGACTTTTTTTTAATTCCAACTCAACAGATCACTTTTGTGTGTGTATAAAACTCAAATGTATTTTCTTTACTGAATAACTTAATAGGATTAAGAAATCTCAGGAGCTGTAGGTATTATTTCCTCTTCTTCAGACACTTAGAAATCTGTTCTCCATTCCAGTATGTATAGTTGAACTCTATTTTCCAAATACGTTTGCTGCTAGAGCAAAATATGCTTTTTCCCACAGTTTTAAACTCTGGGTCCTGACTCTGCCATTGGTGTGGGTAGATCACAAAGCCTTGCTGATGCCTTCTTGGGCAAAGGGTCTGCCCAGACAAGCAGCAACAAGAAGAGGGAGCAAGTCCAAAATCTTGAAAGGTATATAGGTAGATTAAGTCTACAGGGTGTCCTGAGGTCCCTGTTCTCTGTTGACCTGTGTTCTAGCATGTAATTTGTTGAACCACACTATTTCCCTACCTCTGTGACTGAAAACCTGTGTGTAAAGGTGCAAGGAATTCTGCACCTTGTCCTCTCTGGAGGAGGAGGTGTGCATTTGGGCTTGTGCATTCAACAGCGATGCCTTAGTCCGTCCTATCTGCACAGTTTAATTATGGTGTTTATATAAAATAAGAGTGATACAAGCTGCAGTCTCTTCTGCCTCAGGCTGAAAATGACTAGCACATGTAAGTTGTATGTGCCAAAAACGATGGTCACACACGCCATACTGGGCTGGATAGCATTATGAAAGCTCAGCTGATTTGCTACACTTAGAGGAATATCGGTGCTTTCACACTGAACTCTGAAAACTAAGATTCTGATATATTTTTGACATTTCCTGCATCAGAACTTTTAAGTGAAGAAAATCTTTGAATGGGAAATTTGTCTGATGTTCATCACCACCCGTGTATCAAAACACAGATCCAGTTCTACCTACGCCTACCCAGGCACTTTCTTTACTTTCTCACTTTGCCATTCTCAGAAATCTTCTTTTTTTTAATGTATTTGCATGTGACTTGTCCTATTTTTGCTTCTCCAGTCTGTTGTTGATTGTCACTTCTTGGAAAACTGCTTTAAAAAAAAAAAAAAAAATAAGAGAGGTGTAATAGGTTCTAATTTACTTGTTTCAAGTCATGTAAGTTAGGACTGTATGCCAAGTATTTCTTAATAAGCACTGATGCTCATGCTTAAATAACAGAAAATCATGTGACTTCTTTTTAGTTTGATTAACAAGATCAAACCTGGCATCGTTAAGAAGATCAATCGTCTGTCAACTCCAATAGCTGGCTTGGTAAGTGATGACATCAAATCTAATATCTGGGGTGTGACACCAAGTTCAGTTTGATTTTAATTTGCACTCTCTTGCCTATTTTTTGTTTTTTGTCTTGCTACAAAAACCTATGAAGTTTTCAGAATTTTAGTTCTGTTTCCATTCATGTTTAAAATTGTACCATTTATCCCGTGTCTTAGACCAGGAAGGTTACATGTTCTGTGACTTGGATCTGTAACTTTAATCAGCTTGTCACAGCATGGAGCTTCATCATTCCCAGATGCATCAAGCACCGATGGCTCCTGGGCACAAACCGATGGAGTCTTACTTGGCTTTATCTAAAGGCCATCCTATGTTATAGAATCGTAGAATCATTTAGGATGAAAAAGACCTTTAAGATCATCAAGTCCAACGATTCACTTAACCTTGCTATGTCCACTGCTAAACCATGTCTCTAAGCACCATATCTACATAACTTCTAAATATCTACAGGGATGGCGATTCCTTGTGATGGGATACCACCACTTCTTGGGAAGCCTGTTTCAATGCTTGATAACCCTTTCAGTGAAGAAGGTTTTCATAATATCCAACCTCAGTCTCCTCTGGCACAACTTGAGGCCATTTCCTCTTGTCCTATTGCCTGTTACTTTTGAGAAGAGACCAGCACCCACCTCTCTACAACCTCCCTCCCTTCAGGTAGTTGTAGAGAGTAAGAAGGTCTCCCCTGAGGCTTCTGTTCTCCAGGCTAAACAGCCCCATTTCCCTCAGCTGCTCCTCATAAGACTTGTTTGGTAGACCCTTCAACAGCTTTGTTGCTTTTCTTTGAACATGCTCCAGAACCTCAGTGTTTTTCTTGTATTAGGTGGCCACAACTGAACACAGTATTGGAGGTGCAGCCTCACCAGTGCCAAGTACAGGGGTACAATCAGTTCCCTAGTCCTGCCAGCTATACATTTCTGATACAAGCCAGGATGCCGTTGGCTGCCTTGGCCACCTGGGCACACTGCTGGCTCATATTTAGCTGGTTGTTAATCAGTAGCAACCACTCTTTCACAAGCCTGTGGCATTGCCTGAGGTTGTTGAGGCCCATGTGCAGGACCTGGTACTTGGCCTTGTTGAAGCTTATACCATTGTCCTTGCCTCATCAATCCAGTATGTCCAGGTCCCTCTGAAGAGCCTTCCTACCCTCAAATGGATCAACTCTTCCACCCAACTTTGTGTCATCTGTAAACTTACTGAGGGTTCCCTCTCTCTTCTCATTGAGATCACTTCAAACAGAAGTGGCAACAATACTGAGCCCTGGGGAACACTGCTTGTGACCAGCTGCCAACTGGATTTAGCTCCATTCACCACCACCCTTGGGGCCCTGCTGTCCAGTCAGTGTTTTACCAAGTATATGCCCATCCAAGTCATCAGCAGCCAGTTTTTTTTTCAGGACGATGCTGTGAGGAACAGTGTCAGTAGCTTTACTGAAGTCCAGGTAACAACATCCACAGCCTTGCCCTCATCCACTAAGCAGGTCATCACAAGCCACTTCAGATGTCCCTTTCTTAGGGAATGGACAGACTGGGAAATGTTCTGTGTAACTGGAGTGTTTTTAGCATCTACTTCTCCACACCCACAACAAAGCCCATGTTGTATTAAAATAACTCTGATGCAAACATTTCTCTTAAGGCTGTAAAACTGTAGTTGGAGGGGAAAGGAGGGGAGGTATACATAATCATTTTCACAGGAAATTTAAAATGTGTCCTGTATGGTGTCTGCCATATTTTCTAGTCAGAGCCTATAGGATAAATTTTTTAGCCATTTAGCTTTAGAAACCCTTTTGTGGATAAACAAATGAAAGTTTGTTGGTTTTTTTTTTTTTTTTGCATTTTTTTCTACAAAAGCCTTGCTGGCTATCCATGTTGCTGGAGTATCTAGGCTGCTTTGTCCTGTCACTGGAACTATTGATCTCATCTTGAAAGACCCAAGGTGAATAAGGGCATACAAATGACTGTGGTAATGAGTGGAAGATCAACTTTATGGTAAAAATGCAATCTTAGCATTAGGGGAAGTCACCTGATTTCTTATTATAGGAGTGGGTTGCAAAACATCTCTAGATACTTGGCTCCTCCCATTACAACATAAATGTAACTAAACATCTGCTTTTGCTGGTTAGTTGTGTATCTTGCTAGAGAGAAGTGTAGTTAACTTGGGCAGAGGTTATAAGGCTGGGTTAATTTGCCATATGTTATTGCACAAGCTCAGAACGTGCGTTTCCACATCACATGAATGTAGGAAGTATGAATTGTCTTTGTTCCAGAAGAGCTCAGGGTGTTAGGCTTGCAAACAACAAGTGCTGCACATTCTTTCCCCGTGAGGTATCCAAAAAAGAATTAAAATGAAACCAAAATCATTATGGGGAAGACAGACAGTTATTCTATCAGCAGCTTGATTGCCTAAATGGCCCCTGAAGTAGCTATTTGATCCAAACTAGAAAATCATAGGCTAGATTTCATTTTTGTGGTGCTTTGTATTGTTTTGAATAACAACTATAGGAGATCTTTTTTTTTTTTGGTGTGTTTTTTTTCGCCGGTTTTCAGATGCAAAAATTTGGTGTATTTATTAGGTGTGTAGTTTATTACTTGTAGTGTATTATTGTTCTTTCCAGTTCCTGCATGTCTTCAAAAATAACGGAGACAAAAGGTGAATGTTTCCTGTAAACCAATACTATCCAGTGGTATTGTTATTAAAATACAACTTGAAAATAGTTATTGAGAGAGCTGATGTCCTGTGTTTACCCATGGAAAAGGTTTTACAATAAATACTTCAGTTTCAGGAGATTGTGACTACGAGGGCTCTAATGGGAGGATGTGAGAAGCTGGTGCTTATCATGGCAGTAGTGGGAGAGGAGATGTATTTTCTTAGACTTGAGATGAATGTGCTCAGTTATACCAGCTTCAGACAGCTCAGTTTTCATCCCAGCATGTAAAACTTAAACTAAAACCAATGGGTTTGTGCATTTATAGAAGAGCAAGTGTTGATATCTGACAGGCTTGGGATGTTGTGGCTGACGAACCTTAGGTTTTAAGGATGGAAAGAGCTTGCTAAGGGATTAACTGGTAGGGTTGTTTGTCACTCTTTGTAAATATTTTCAGTGTAAGCTGCTTCTCCCATAGATCTGCTTCTAGTCAGTGTTTTGTGTGGCTTCATATCTGTATTTCTATATATGAAATTCTCTCTTCTGCTATTTTTAATGTCTTCCAGTTTTGCCGTAATTGCTCCCCTCTGTGCCTTTATGAGATTTAGAAATTACTGTTGGTATGGGGACTTGTTTGTTTGTTTGTTTGTTTTCTTTCTTTCTTAAACCAGATGGAAAATTTAACCTCAAGAGATGGCTTTTTTTTTTTTTTTCCCCCTAAAGGATAAGCAGATGCCGTAACTTGAATTCCAGTCTGGTAAATCCTGTAATCTAAAGATCTTTTGAATGATGTTCTTTCTACAGTTCCTCTTTGTGGTCCTCTAAACTCATGTCCTCAGGTCCATTTCCAAAATATCTGTGCATTCACCACTGAGCAACTAGTATCCACTTCTCTCCTGGTTTTTCTGATTAAAAGGAAACAGGATCCTTGTATTCTTAAAATTTTTCTGGCAGTCATACTATCAGAAGAAAAGAAATGCTTTGAAAGACACTTTGTTTCTCTTCTTTCTTTTTTTTTTTTTTTCTTGTTTAGTAATTCAAGTTTGGTTTTGTTCTATGGGGAGGTAATATATTTGACTTCTATGGAAGTGTTATTTTAAGTTTTCTGTTCACTTCAAATACTTGGCAGAGTTTTTCTTAGCAGTACAAAAATACAGTGCTCAATAAGTGTCTTCAGCTGAATCTTCAGAAGGATTTCATTATATTGCTTCTTTGACTTCATGGTTATTTTGAAAACAAATTTCTTGAGTAAAATAGGAAGTGAAAGCCTATATGAATAATGAAATGTTCTGCTTTATATGGAACATTACGTGCTAGACTTTTAGAAGTAAATGCTTTTTTTAATGAAGCACATGCATTATTAATTTTTGTCATATGTCACTTTTATGACACCTTAATTATCATAAAATGTAATGGGAACTTTATACTAGCAGGATCATCTAAATTCCAAGCACACTTTAAACAACAGCAAATCAGCCTTAGCTTTTGCCTTTAGTTTGATTATACTACTGTCTAGCAGTATCTAGCATCTACCCTTTTCCTGTTTGAAGCTGCTACCTCCCATCCTGTTACTACAAACCCTTGTAAAAAGTCCCTCCCTAGCTTTCTTCAGGTACTGGAAGGCTGCAGTGAGCTCTCTCCAGAGCCTTCTCTGCTTCAGGCTGAATAACCTCAGTTCTCTCAGACTGTTCTCTTAGGGTGGGTATTCAAGCCCTCTGATTATCTTCAGGACCCTCCTCTGGACCTGATCCAACAGGTGCCCTTTGTGCGTTAGGGGCTCCAGAACTGGATGCAGTACTCCAGGTGGGGTCTCACCAGAGCAGAGTAGAGGGGGAGAATCACCTCCCTCGACCTGCTGGCCACACTTCTCTTGATGCAGCCCAGGATCTGGTTGGCTTTCTGGGCTGCACTTGCACATCACATTGGCTCATGTTGAGCCCACCAGCACCATTGTCATCAACCAGCACCCCTAAGTCATTCTCCTCAGGACTTCTCTCAGTGTGTTTTGATGATTAAATACTGAAATGAAACTCGGCATTCAGTTAACAAAAAATGCTGAATTGGTACCAAGCAAATTTACACAACAAAAAAGACTAAACTTATTCC